TCTCCCTGCCCAGGAGACAGATTCTACCTCCTCGCGACAGGAAATCTTCAGACTCCAGGCTCCAAGCAGCCCCCCAGCCCTGCTGTTCCAGGGCCCAGGTTCTCCTCATCTCTTTTCTTCACAGCAGGCTCAAAACTGCCTTGGTTGTGAGAATTCTTCTAACAGTCAGCACCCATTTCCCATTGTCTTAGTTTTACTCTGGCCTGTGCCCAAGTTTTGGGAACTGGAGTCCACATCCTCAGCTTGTCAACATTACCCAAAAAAAAAAAAAAAAGAAAATCAACAAAAAACCCCACAATCTTACAAACAGAAGTCGGCCTGTGTCTCCTCATTTATCCTGGGGGCCTCAAGCATGGGACCTTGCACATCATGGGTGCTCATTAAATGCCGACTTGATCTTTCTAGAGAAATCTATACTGCCATAGCAAACAGGCACTTGCTGTTCTCTTGCCAGTAGTTCTCTGGCTCCCTCCAATTTGGCAAGTATACACACTCGGAAGGCTCAGAGAAGAGTGACCCAGCAACAGACTGACTTAACACCATAGCCTAGAGCACAGAACATGGAGGAAAAGGGCCCAAAGTGCTGGAAAACAAAAGAAAACAAACCCCAGAAAACTGTAACTGAGCTAAATGTGGAAAATGTGGTTACGATTGGTTTTAACGATACCATCAGCCGCTGCATCTCAGAAGAGCATCTCTGTTTCCATTTCTAAAAATACTGCTCATTTCTCCACGTCAGGAACTCTGAAACCAGGAGGAACTAGAGCAAGGTATCGATCTTTTCGCTTCCAGTTCATGCTTTAAAAATGACCTTTGCCCTAAAGGCCAACTAGCCAAAGGCAGACCAGCAATGAGCCAGCCACACAAAGCTGCAGTTCCCAAACGTGGCCGGTCCCAAGGCTGAGTGATGGCCAGGGCTAAGGCCAAGTTTTTAACCGACGATTTCTTTTTAAACTACTGCTATTTCCCGCTTGGGAAAAACAAAACAACAAAACCAAACAGAATAAAAACCTGTATTTCAGATTTAGCTACAACGGTCATAGAAGGCTGGACTGAGGCTGGTTTACAGTCCACGAAAATCATCTCTCTTTATAAATCCCGAACACTTATAAACATCTTTGCTCACGCTGGAATGTCATTTTCTAGTATTTTGGCCATTTCACCATGACTCTTTTGTGAATATGAAGCCATTTCACAGTTCTTGGAATTTGTTTGAGACAGATTCCCAAACAGAGCGTCCTGGGAGGTGGGCGTGGCCAACAGAGAGAACAGAGAATTCCACTTGGCCTCAGGATGAGTGTTCTCCAGGGTTCTTTAATGTCTCCCTCACACCTGAGGCGGCCCTATCTCGGGACCAGCAAAAGCACTGCAGGGAAAGATGCAGTAATCCTAGTATGTTAATGTTAAGATTAAAAAATAACCATAAAGTTAGAATGCATTTACTTGCCAAGGAATGGAAGAGCAAGTGGGAGGGGAAACTTCAGATGTCAGCTTTCTTGGTGGCCACATCGGGGCCACAGTGCCCCAGCCAGGAAATGCAATAGTGACACCTTAGCAATGCCTTTTCATCTTAGCAATTACCCACCAAAGGGGTAAGTAGGCAATCGGGTAAGTGGAGGGGCAGATCTCTCCAGCAGCCCTTTTAAAGTACGGACAATGAAAACGTGAGGCAGGATGACTAAGAAGCCGAGCTTTTGGGAGGAACACTGGAACCCGCGGCACTCGCAGACACCTCACATTCCGGATTCCTCACACCACCTCAGATCACTGCCTGTGCCATTGCAGGTCCCTTCTCCATCGCCCCGGCCCCACAGTGCTCGGCCTCCTCCCGCATCTCCAATGGCTCCTCCTCTGCTCCTTCCTCCCTCAGCCCTGCTGTCCTCGCTCCTCACTTCCCTGTCTCAGTGCCCTCTGAGATTAGGATCCTCTCTCCCCGGCACACACTACCAACTCCAGCCACTCTTTCACTGTGTCCCCCTCAGCTTGGCCAAACGACCGCTCAATTCTTGATCTGCACGCGTCAGCTCCCCAGCAGGGCTATCTAGAGAAGCATGCAGTCACCAGTGGCTCCTTCAGTCTGCGGCCAGGGCTTCGAGAGGGCTGGGAAAGCTTCAGATGACCGCTCTGCACCTCCGCCTCTCTAGAGGGCTTTCTGCTGCCTCTTGGTCTCTGCAGACTTCCAGTCCCTCCTCCATGTGGCATGCTCAGATGCTAGCTTTGACTCCCATTTCACAAAGGAAGGTCGGCGATCAGAAGAGAACTGCAGAGCCTCCTCCTCCGAGCACCGCCCATGCATGTAGCCATCATTTGGTCCATCCCCACTGGCAACTGTCCATGTTCCTCCTAAAGCCAGTAACTCCACTTGTCCACAAACCCATCTCTCTCACCTACTCAAGAGGTGTTTTCAGCAACCCTCCATCCCACATAATCAATATTTCACTCTCTACTCAGTCACTCCCATCGGCATCTAAACATGCTGATAATGCTTCCAACTGAAAGACAATTCTCCTGAGCTTATTTACCCCACCAGATACCACCTCAAACTCTGCTCCCTTTTGCGCAAAGCTCAACTGAGTTGTCTACAATCCCTGTGTCCACTACCTCCCCTGCATTCTTCTCTCCAATCCAGCGTGTGTGGCCACAGCCACCGGACCACTGGCCCCAGCACTGACCTGAGCCTCCATTCTCAGTCCTCTCCATGCTCCTGGTTTCCCTGCTTCCTCCCTGGTTGTTCCCTCTTGTTCTCCTTTGCTGGCTTGTCCTCTTCTGCTCCTCATGAAGCTGGAATGCCCCAGGGCCCTGTCTGTACAACTCCTCTCTTCTTTCACTGGGGATCTCATCTGATCTTATTCCTTGAAATACCAACCAGAGGCCACAGACTCCCATCACATTTCCGGCACAGACCGCCCTCTTAAACGACCAGCTCTGGATAGGATCACCCACTCGGCATCTCCATGTGGGTGGTTTATAATCTTCTCACACTCAGCAAGTTCAAAACTGAACTCTGAATCTCTTTTTTTAATTGAGACGGAGTCTCGCTTTTGTCACCCAGGCTGGAGTGCAATGACGTGATCTCAGCTCATTGCAACCTCCGTCTCCCAGGTTCAAGAAATTCTCCTGACTCAGCCTCCTGAGTAGCTGGAATTACAGGCATCTGCCACAACTCTCAGCTAATTTTTATATTTTTAGTAGAGACGGGGTTTTGCCATGTTGGCCAGGCTGGTCTCGAACTCCTGACCTCAGGTGATCCACCCATCTTGGCCTCCCAAAGTGCTGGAATTACAAGCGTGAGCCACTGTGCCCAGCCTCTGAATCCCTTTTTGCACCCAAACCTTCTCTGGCTGCAACCTACTCCATCTCCACTGGTGACAATTCCATCTAGTTACTCAAACTAAAGTCCCTGGAATCGTTACAGACTTTCCCCTTTTCCTCATACTCACAAGCACTCTGGAAGGATGTGGTAAGGGCTTTCTCTTCAAACTGTATCCAGAGTGTGGCCACTTTTCCCTGCTACTGCTGCTGCTATCCACCTTCTACAATGTCCTCTGAGATCATCTCCTGAACTCTACCCTTGTCCTCCACCCTCTCCAATATCCTCTGAGATGGTCTCCTGGACTCTACCCTTGTCCTCCACCCTCTCCAATATCCTCTGAGATGGTCTCCTGGACTCTAGCACCAACCTTCCTCCACCCTCTCCAATATCCTCAAGGATGTCCTGGACTCTAGCCTTGTCCTCCACCCTCACATCCGTCCTCCACCCTCTCCAATATCCTCTGAGATGGTCTCCTGGACTCTAGCCTTGTCCTCCACCCTCTGCAACATCCTCTGAGATGGTCTCCTGGACTCTAGTCTTGTCCTCCACCCTCTGCAACATCCTCTGAGATGGTCTCCTGGACTCTAGCCTTGTCCTCCACCCTCTGCAACATCCTCTGAGATGGTCTCCTGGACTCTAGCCTTGTCTTCCACTCTCTCCAAAGTCCTCTGAGATGGTCTCCTGGACTCTAGCCTTGTCTGCTGCCATTTGCAATATCCTCCAAGATGGTCTCCTGGATTCTTCCCTCTCCTCCACCTTCTACAGTTTATTCTCAATGTAGAGGCCAGAGTAAGCTGATTAAAATGAATTAGACCCTGCTTCTCTGCTCAAAACCCTACACTGATTTCCCATCATGACCGCAGAATTCCCCAATAGCCTGCCATGGCAGGCACAGTCAGTCCTCCTATGTCCCGCTCAGTCCCAGCTCACGGCTCTGTGCTGCGTCCTTCCAGGCACGCTGGGCTGGGTGCTCCTCCAGCTCTGTCTGTGTGCTACAGCCACCAGTCCTTCTCTCTGCAGCGCTCTTGCCCAGATGCTAAGTGGCTAGTTCCTGCACCTCCTTAAAGTCCATATTCAATTTCTCCTTTAGAGACCTCCCTGACCACTCCACTTAAAACTGCAACCTGCCCCGTCCTACTAAACGGGACTAAATAGTTTACTTTTTCTTTTCTCTACAATATCTAGGGCTTGTTGCATAGCATATAATTTGCTTCTGCTACTGTCAAATGAAAATTATCTGTCTCTTCCTGCCTATCCCAACCCCCATCCTCCACCTGTACTCCCCACAAACACAGAATCTCCATGCGAGCAGGAACTGGTGCTGCCTCACTGTGTTCTGAGTTAGAGCTGTGCCTGGCACACGCGCGAGCCCAATCCACGTGTTCTCTGGTGAATCAGGGAGATCTAAAACAGGAGTCTCAAAAGATTGTTATAAGCAGCAAATGAACAAACCTGGAAATCTTTCCAAAGTAGAAATAACTACAATGGCATAAAATAATGTGTTGAACACTATCTTAAAACTCATTCCAGGGAAACCTACTAGAAAACTGCCTATACAGTGTGGCTTAAGAGGTATAGAAAAATCCACCCAGGCAGGCCGACCATCTTTTCCAGCAATGGCCTGAGATTCCACTAAGAAGAGATCAATGAAGGTTGGCAAGCCTTCATTCTCCAAATTCAAAGTTACCTCTGAGAAGTCCAGAGGGGAGGAGAGGCAATGTCTTCCAGCCAGGTCCTGATGTCCTACTGTGCTTATGCACACTCAGACAGCTCTGCCCTCAGGTCAGGCGCCCATAGGGAGAAGCGGGAGAAGGTCTCCGGCACCAGGGCTCCCTGCAGAGCTGGGGGATGCTGGGGGCATGTCAGAGTCAGCAGAGTGCTGGATGCCTAGGAAACAAGAGAAGAACACAGGCAGTTAGAGCAGCAGGGAGGAGAAGAGCAGGGTACAAAGCCTTTCTTCAAGCCCAGAGGAAAGGCTACTGACATTAGAAATCTTATCCAGCCAGACAGTTGTGAAGCATAATAGAACACCGGAGAAAAAACTGAGGTTTACTATGTTTAAAAAAATCCACCAAGAAGTTAATGAATAAACCCATCAACACAGAAAATTCTGAGATAACAAACTGTCCCCTCAATCTTCATTCTGTCCCCTCCTTTTCAATCACAGCCATTCAGCTTTGCCCAGTGAGTCTCTTATAGAGAGAGGTGCAAATCCACAGAAAAGCTTGCTTTTCAGGGCAACCATGAAAAAAAGAACTCAAAAGAATATAATAAAATAAAAATAGAATTAAAAGAGGATAAAATAAACTAATGAAAAAGAAGGCAAAATGGAAGAACAGAAGAACACAAATGACATTAAGATCCATGGAAAACAAATAGTACAATGGCAGACATAAATTCAATGTTATCAGTAATTACACTAAATGGTTTAAACACTCCATTCAAATGGCAGGAATTGTTTGAATGAGTAACACTATATGTTATTACAAGAAACATAATTTAGAATAGCACCAGAAAGAATACTTAGAAACAAATTTAACAAAAGATGTGTAAGATCTGTCTATTAATAACTACCAAAACATCATTAAAAGAAATTAAGCCCTAAAAAAGTAGATATCCCATGCTCATGGATGGAAGACAATATTGCTAAGATAGCAACACTTTCCAAACTAATATATTAACAGATTGATTAAAAACCACAGAATGGTGTACTTTAAAATGATGACTTTTATGCTGTTCGAATTCTATTTTAATAAAACTACTATTTAAGAAGAAAGAAAGACGCCTGGCGCAGTGGCTCACACCTGTAATCCCAGCACTTTGGGAGGCCGAGGCAGGTGGATCACAAGGTAAGGAGTTTGAGACCAGCCTGGCCAACATGGTGAAACCCTATCTCTACCAAAAACACAAAAATTAGCTGGGCATGGTGGCAGGCACCTGTAATCCCAGCTACATGGGAGGCTGAGGCAGGAGAATCGCTTGAACCCAGGAGGCAGAGGTCACAGTGAGCCAAGACTGCGCTATTGCACTCCAGCCTGGGCAACAAGAGTGAAACTCCATCAAAAAAAAAAAAAAAAGCAGGGGAGAGGGAGTGGGAGGGAGGGAGGCAGGGAGAGAGGAGGGAGGGAGGGAGGGAGGGAGAGAGGGAGGAGGGGAAAGTAAGGGGGAGGGAGAGGGAGGGGAGAGAGGGGAGGGAGGGAGGGGAAAGGAAGAAGGGGGAGGAGGGGGAGGAGGGGAAGGGGAGGAGGAAAGGAGGGGAGGGGAGAGGGAGGGAGGGAGGGAAGAGAGGAGAGGGAGAGGAGAGGAGGGAGGAAAGGGAAAGAAACATCAAGTGGAAAAAAATGTAAAGAAACAGAAGGCAAGATTATACTTCAGGGTTTCCCAAATGTTCTCTTTCTCAGTAACTTTTGTTCATCAAGGCTGCAACACTATATGTAAACCTGCTTTAACTTTACAGGCATTTCTCTGAAACCTGGAAGCAAAGAACAAATTCAACTGCGTCTCTCTCTCTCCCCCTCTTTGCCTCTGGGGGCCATCTAGTTTTCTCAAAGCAGAGAATCAGAGGAGCAGGGCTTCCATCTGACCCAGAGAGAACACAGCCTGGTGGACAGGCCACGTATCTTTTGGTAGATATTCCTTGTTACTGCTCCTTTACTAAAATACAAGCAGCACCCACATGAGAGGAGAGGAGAGGAGAGGAGAGGAGAGGAGAGGAGAGGAGAGGAGAGGAAAGAAACATGTCAAGTGGAAAAAAATGTAAAAGACGAAGGCAAGATTACTTCAGGTTTTCCCAAATGTTCTCTTTCTCAGTATAGCTTTTGTTCATCAAGACTGCAACACTATATGTAAACCCTGCTTAACTTTAGGCATTTCTGTTCAGGAAGCAAAGAACAAATTCAACTGCATCTCTCTCTCTCCCCCTCTGCCTCTGCAGGGCCATCCTAGTTTTCTCAAAGCAGAGAATCAGAGGAGCAGGGCTTCCATCTGACCAGAAGACACAGCCTGGTGGACAGGCCCACGTATCTTTTTGGTAGATATTCCCTTGTTACTGCTCCTTTACTAAAATAGCAAGCATTGCCCACATGCAGTCTGAGGATGCTAATTTTTTGCAGCACTCAGGACGAGGCTGCTCAAGCTAAAGTCTTTAATGCTAATATCTCCGCCAGCTGAGAGCCCTGACCCAGCCTCCAAACATCACCGGCGGTGCACAGAGCAAGCCTCTCACCTCCAGAAAGCTGTTCCTCCTCAGTCCTGAGTAGCATCTAGATACCCATTCCAGAAAACGGTATCCACTTTGTTGCAAATCTATTCTCTGCCTTTACTTGGCAATAAATTCTGAGCCTTCAAATAAAAGACAATATAGTGTCTTTTACTACAGCTTCTGCCATTTTTCCCAGGTAAGAGAGCTTATAAACAGAATTATAACCTCCAGCAGGAAGAAAAGCTTTCTGCTCAGCTAGTGCCCTGGCAAATGAAGCCTTTCCCAGCTGTGTTATAAAAAGATTTATAAAGAGAGCCTGGCCACAGAGCTCTCTGCCCAGAGGGGTGTGCTGGGAGCCCAGTGTGGCTCCTGGGCTGTTGGCAGGTTGCAAAGCCTCCTGCCCCCAACTGGACAGTGGCCCACGGTCACATAGCTAACTGGCATCCACATTTTCTCAGCACCAGCAAACAGGCGCTAATGAAGTGCCATGCATTTCACTTGGTTGTCTGTCATCCATATTTTGAACATACAGCCTCCAGGCAAGCTGCATGTGTGCCCAGGTATCAAGAATTGTTCTTCATACTACTCTGGCTACAAAGCCACACGGGCATTAAGTGGTCAGTCCCTCAATACTCAGGAAGCCCTCATATTTTTAGTACCAGGTTTTACAGAACACCAGGAATGCATGTATTGGGTTTTAGCAGAAACATCTGTAGTAAATGTTCATGCACTCCTCAGCCTTTTCTTGCACCTCGACCATGTGCTGAGACAGCAGGTAGGCGTGATAACAAGGTGAATAAGATGTGGTTTCTGCTCTCAAGGAGCTCAGACTATGCAGGAATCTGTAAGACCATACCTGGCCCTCAGTCACACACTCACACACACACACACACACCACACACACACACACACACACACACACACACACTACCGTGTGTCATTGAAAAAACTCTGATATACTGAAGGACAGGATGAGGCTTCTCATTTCCTAACAGTGTGCTTCTCTGGTAATTTCAATACAATTAATTAATTTATACCTTTCTGGGAACACAGATGCTACTTCAGATTTTGAACAAAAGACTCAAGGGTTCAGAATAACCTGAGAAAGTCAACCTGATGCAAAAATATATATTAAAGAAATTATTTTATTCATTTATTTCTTTCACCAAGTGTGTGTATATCAATATAGAAAAGGATCCTGTTGGTGATTTTTAAAGATTATATAAGATGACTCCTTATTAAATAAAGGCACCAAAATAGCAGCAGCTGAAATCACTACAATAAAAAGGCTTATGAGAAAAAAAGTCAGCGACAACCACTCAAAACCTTTAGAACTTTGCAGTCTGAGTACTTCTCTATATGCATACACACATGCATCTAAAGACGCATGTATGTGTATACATGTGTATATATGCATCTATGTATGTGTGGGGGGGTGTGTGTATACACATGCCATCAGCTAGTGATAAGAGCTACAATAAAACACAACCAGGTAAAGAAAGGATGTGCTATTTTCTTAGTCTTTAAGGCCTCTCTGAAGACGTGATATCTCAAGTGAGTCCTGGATGAAATGAGCAAGCAGGGCATGCGAATGTACAGAGGAAGAACATGCTCCACAACCATGCTCACTGCTCCTCACAAGCACTGACAGTGAAGCGCTCCCTGCCTTCACTGTTCCCGTAGGCCGAGCCGCCCGAGTTCCTAACGGAACTGTTCCCTTAGGTGGCTCGGCCTAAAGGAATAGTGAAAGCAGTGAGAAGCAGAAACCCGACAGATTCTGAAGGTACCTCCCAAAGATGTGATGGGAGAAAGGAAGGGTGGCAGGGAAGGAGGGAGGGAAAGAAAGAAGTCAAAGACGCTTCCAGACTTTTGTCCTGAACGGTCATGTGAGCAGCCCTGTCCATGACACGGGTGTCCCTCAGAAGCCCTAGGGTAGGTGTGCAGATTGCCGTGCCCATGACAAGCACGGGCTCTTGGGGGTGGTCTGGTGACACAAAGTGAGAGGCCATCCTATCTACATGCTGTTAACATTAACACTGGGGGATAAATGAGCTCACCTGGGCAGGGATGTAGAAGGGAAAGACAGCAAAAGAGGTCTGAGGATGGAGCCGTGGGGCCCTCGGATGTCCAAACAAAGAGACACAGTTCAGGAATGAAGAGTAACCAATGAGGGAGGAGGAACGGGGAGCTGCAAAGGGAGCTGCAGGGAGAGCTGCACGGAGAGGGTGGTGACCTCAGAACAGGATGCTGGATGTCCAGATTTTAGAAGAACTGGGTGTTACTGAAGGAATGGGTAGTTAAGGTAAGACAAAGAGGATGACTAAAAGGAGGAGGCCAAAGAAGAAAGTGAGGGATCCAGTTTTGAAATGGCCTGCTATGCAGATGTTGAAATGGCTAAAGTAGTAACAGGAAGGAAGATGAAGACAGTGAATTCGTTGCTAAACTCATCTATGAATGCGGAGGAGGACAAAAGGAGGGGGCATCTGTAGAAGGTTCAAAGAAGAAGGAAGAGGGACATTAAAGCCTGATGGCACATGTCTCAAGGGAGCAGGGGAAGTTTTAGGGAAGAAGAAGGCGCAATGGCCTGGAAGCGGCAATGAGAAGCACAGACAGCGCCCACTCCACCCTGATCATGTGGTTTTTTTCTTTTTTTTTGAGTGATGACCATGTGACAGTCACTGAACTT